TCCCAACTTACTCAAGTGTCTCCAGGCTGGGTTAAGCTCTCCCAGCAGTCGTAGTGTTCTCGATAGTTGGGTCAGCTTTCTGACGGAATGCTTACCGTTTTACTCCGATACCATCTTCCAGGTTCTCATTCCTCTGGTGGAGACTTTGTGCAGACAAGTCTCCAACACTTTTAGTGACTTACAATCCATATTCCGAGACAACGGCAATTCAAAGAAGGATGACCGGAATGCACCAGAGTCTACACTGATCTCGCTACTCAATGCTTTGGAGCAAGTACTGGCCCGGGCACACGAGCGACTTCTGATTGAAGAGGCCAGAACGCAAGTTGTCAAGGGCCCGGATCAGCAGCCATCGGGATTCTTTGGCACCATGGTATCCGGTGTCTTCACCTCGGATACCCCACAAGCGCGGAGTGCCACCGCAAATGATAGACTCACGGTGCATCTTGCGTTCGCAGATGCTGTTCGCATTTGCTTCACGATCTGGTCCTGGGGCCAAGGGGGCGATATCAATGCTCAGGACTTAACATCTGTTTCGTCTTTCAACTACACATCTCTTCGAATGAGAAACCGGGCGAGACGACTTCTGGAGCACCTTTTCGCAGCAGAGACCTTAGAGTGTCTCGAGACAGTCATCGAAATCTGGCGGGGCTCTATCAATATTACAACACCCGTACCACAGTCAGAAGTATTCAACCTCTTACCAGCATTGGATGGTTCTCGACCAAAGCACACTATCCCTGCCATCTTTAATGCTATTTACAGCAGAACGAACCCCGGGGCATTGGACGCTTCAAGAAAATCAACGTTGACAACATCTCTCCAAGACATTGACCTCGTCACATTCCTGGTTGAATATGCCCGCTCGCTGGAGGACGACGCAATGGACGAGATTTGGCTTGACTGCATGGCGTTCCTGCGTGATCTGCTCACAAATCCTTTCCCACACAGACAGACACTACCAAGTCTGTTGGAGTTCGCGGCTATCTTGGGCGAAAAGGTCGACAACACCAATTTCGGGGAGCAGCGGAAGATGAGACGCGAGCTTGGGGTAAGCATTATTACCTTAAAACCTGCCACAGAAAACACACTTACAAATCGGACAGGACCTATTCCTCCGGCTCCTAACGGCAATCTTCACAACCAAGCCCCTGACGTTCTCAGATACGGCACCAAACGACAAGTCGGAAAAGAACCGCGATGGTATTCGCCGCGCCCCCACGATTGCCCTGGTAAGCGTCCTCGATAGAGCCGAGGATGTGGTCGCAATCTTGGCTTCAATCGTGCCGAACCTTCCCAAGATCCTAGTCGAAACGGACCGTGTGCTGTCCGCAGCCGGTACGATTTCAACAAACGTCATCAGTCCAGCCTTCAGAGCGAAGGCGTTCCCTGATACTGTGTCCAAGAATACACTAGTCTTATTACAAGAATTGTCCAGGCTCCCCAATAACCAAAAGACGTGGAAGAAGGATGTTGGAGACGCGTTCAACGATGCTCGGTTCTTCAGCTCGAGCATTGAGCTCGTCCGAAGCGACTGGTTGCCGTTGCTTAGACAATGGACCGTCAGTGACAAGGAACGTATGCCAGAGCTTCTGGCCCGCATGACTCCGCCCACCACGGCCGGTATCGTGTTTGGTGTTGGTGCCACTTCTGCTCGATTGGAGGCAGATCGGAGGACACAGCTCAACCTTCGTCGCACTGCATCACTAGTCCTCGCAGCTACAGAGGACGCCTTTGTCACTGAGCTTCCCATCATCACTGACAAAGTAGTGGAACTTCTCAGCGCCACGGCGACGTCTTCACCTTCCTCTACAACGAGAGCGGAGATCTTCATGCTTGTTCGCGCACTTGTGCTGAAGACCAGTGCCATCCACCTGGCTATGCTATGGCCGATTATCAATGCCGAACTTCATGCAGCCATCGCGTCTGTTGTGGCTGCCGATCACAGCACCGCATCTGACACCTACAACAACATCTCTATCCTACAAGCCTGCAAATTACTAGACCTGCTCATTTGCGTTGCGCCGGATGACTTCCAGCTTCACGAGTGGCTCTTCGTCACGGACACCATTGACGCTGTGTATCGATCTAGCAACTACCAACCTGTTGCACTTGTCGACGAGCTTGCAGAGGAGCTTGGCACTATGGGTGTCAGCTCTTCATTGGGTAGCAATCCTGCGGCGCACTTGGCCACGAGCAGCTCCCATAGACGACCACTGCTTGGACCTGGCGGCATCAATGACGAAGTCAGCATTGATAGAAAGGACGAGCTCGTGGGCAAGATTCTACGGCCGTTCTTTGGAGAGCTAAGTATCTATGCTTTCGAGTCGACGTACGCGATGGCGCCACTAGACCGGGAGTTTTGTGTTCAGGGGTTGTTGAAGGATTTGTTCGATGAACGTAGCGTTGTCAAGGCGTTGTAAAAGCAGGTTTTGCTTGTTAGAGTATGGCTCTCATTGAAAGAGCTAGAACAAGAAGAAATGTTCATCAAGGTTTTGATTGTTTTGTACTCAATGCTCCTGGTATGAAAGCCACCATGGCCTTACTCGCCCCCTCCATGCAATACTGCACTACTTCGAGCTTCTCCCCCTCCGGAGCCAATTTCGCCACCTGTCTGAGATCACTCGTTCGAGGGAGATACAGCGCATGATCCATCGGTTTGCAGGCCTCGTGCAGCTGTTCCAGATTATACGGTTCCATCTTGCTCAGATCAAACACCTCGGCGGTCCGGTACCCCGGGCCACCCCAAGGCGGCGAAGCAAAGACTACCGTCTCGGCCATGTCGACCCTCAACTCCTCGCTCAGCTCCTCGGGGCTCTCCCTCAGCTTGCGGAGGTAGTCGAAGCAGTCCCCGTGGATCCAGGTGATGTACTCTGCGACCTCGTACAGCTCCGCGTTGTGCTGGGCGCACGCCAGGGTCGCGGCGTCGCGCTCGATGGAGATGACGCGGTCCCATCGGGCCGAGAGCGCGAACGCGATTGTGTTGCCGCCGGCGCCGCCGAATATGTCGACGAGGACGTGTTTTGAGGCGTCGGTGTGGTACATTTCGTTTGCGACTTGGTTTGCGACGGGTTCGGGAGTCACGCCAAACCAGGCGCTGTCTGTGAGGTACACGCCCTCGTCGTACCAGGAGAAGAGGGAGTAGCGCTGGGAAAAGTATCTAGAGATTTTTGTTAGCTGCTATTGCAATATGAATCTTTGTCCCGAGTAGAGGACTTTGACTTACTTTTGGAGATCCCAAGGCACTTCTGCCTTGGACTTGTAGTGATGGCACTCATCCGTTAGGGGGAGTCTGGTGGCGGCCTTCATTTTGGTGGTGATGCATGAAGTATAAGGTACATCCAAGCCCAGTTCCCTTTCACAACCAAGCGATTTCGATGAAACAAGAGTCTAGTTGGTTAGACCCATCGAGACAATATCACATGTTGAGACTTATAAGGGAAAGTCGTCCAGTGATGAAAATGAGATGAACGAGGCTGAAGCAACAGGAAGCTAAAATGTAAGGTCCCACTTGGTGGCTCCACTAGTGTGGGAAGAAGCTTGGATCATCTGCAAGGCTGACGAGGGACCTTGGATGACAGCTTGCTCCAAGCAGGAACGAATGGAATGCTCGCAACGACAAACACCGAGTAAATAGCCACCACCGACCTCAATACTTACCAATCTCGAGCTTTCATACCCAATTTTCCGTTCTGAAAAATCACAAAACCACACAAGAAGATAACTCAGCTCGAGCGTCGAGCGCATCACCATGTTCAATGCGCTGAACCGCTTCATGTCCCGCCTGGACGGGCAGCAACCAACCCAACAGAACAACCAGGGCTCTTTCGGTTTCCAGGTGCTTCGCAACACGAACCTCGAACTCAACGTCGAGCCTTGGTTTGACTTCATCATCGGTATAAATGGCCGGCCTATCGTACGTAATCTTTGTGACTTGGTATACATCCCCTCTCAGAAACAAAATACTAACAAGCCGCCCCTCCACATCAGGACAACCCCGACCCAAGCCTTTTTGCCCAAGAAGTCCGCAACTGCGCAGGCGGCTCCGTCTCCTTGGGCCTCTGGTCCGCAAAGGGCCAACGAACCCGCGAGCTCCACGCCCTCGTTCCCCACGACACCGCCTCCCTCGGCCTCTCCCTGCAGTGGACCCCCCTCGCCGTCGCCGCCAACATCTGGCACGTCCTCGACGTCGCCGCAAACTCCCCCGCCGACGGCGCGGGCCTCCTACCCTACGGCGACTACATCCTCGGCAGCCCCGAGGGTGCCCTCCACGGCGAGGGCGGGCTGAGCGAGCTCGTCGAGGACCACATTGGTCGCCCGCTGCGCCTGTATGTGTACAACAACGAGTACGACGTCACGCGCGAGGTGACGATCCAGCCGACGCGCGAGTGGGGTGGTGAAGGCGCGCTGGGGTGCGTGCTGGGGTACGGTGCGCTGCACAGGTTACCTGCGCCGCTGAACGAGCCCGTCGACGCGCCGGGCGAGATGATGTTTGATGCTGGCGGGGAGAAGGCCGACCCGGCCGCGGCGCTGTACGGGAACGCGGGACCGATTGGCGAGGTGCAGCAGAATCTCTTCTCGCCCGCTACGCCTGGTCTCGGCGCTCCTCCTCCGACGGGGGGCGACTTCTTGGTGCCTGCGCAAATGGTGGACGCTGGCGCCGCGGCGCCGCCGCCTCCTGCGGGTACGGCGACGACGAGGAAGAAGAAGGAGAGGCACCACGGCGGGAACAATAACTTTATGGATGATTACTTCAAGGAGGAGGAGAAGAAGAGCAGGGAGGCGGACAATGCGCCCAGCGGGAGGGGTACGCCTGTTGCGCCGCCTCCGAAGATGGGGGGACCGCCGCCGCCTAGAGCTAGTTCGACGGGACCACCGAAGGATCAGCCTGCGGCCGAGGGTGCTGAGTGATAGAGAAGGGGGTGGGGAAGCTGAGGCTGGTGGGTAGACGGGTGTCAGGATTATAGAACTAGAATTTTGGAGTCCACTGTCATGATGATTCCCAGAATTGCACTTTTGTTCATCTCTTTGACATCTATCGTGCTGTGATGCAACGCCTGCTCAAATAATGTACATTGCTTTGTTCGTTCCGCATGCTCATGCGATTGTGGTGTTGTAGCGTTCATGCTTCACCACCAATTGGTCTGTCCACCGCCCACATCGAACCTCAGTCTTTGGCCTTGAGGACCGACACCCCCTTTTCTTGTCCCGACTGGAAGATAAAAACTTGTCTCCTGTTCCTTTCATCTGGTACGTGCCCTTAGTTTATGAAGTTGACGCAGAAGAAGTGCAGAATCAGACTGCATGCGACGTAGTCGGCGAAAGCTCTGTGATGGCAGTGTTAGTTTCTATAGTCGTAGCTCGATATTCGTGAGGATTTGGGGGAGCCGGCATACCTCTCGGGTGATACAGAGGGGAAGTCGGACTTGTTGGCCTCGGTGGTCTGGATGCGCAACGATGCTAGAGGACTAGTGTCAGCCATTGTAGACTGTTGTTTCGATTGTGTCTTACCAGTGAGGACGAATTGGCCGACGGTCGCAGAGAAACCAGAGAGGAAGGCGTTGAAGGGCTATTTTACACCATCATGTTAGCAATTGTTCTTCTCTAGATGCTCATCCGCTAAGGCTCCTTCCCCAAGCTACAACTAAACAATATCCCCGTCCGAGCTGCTTGAGAGGGCAAGATATGAAAAAGAGACATACGTAGTTTCCAGCAACAACACAGTACAAGAATTGCAGCGCGCCAACAACGACCAAAAATGCCATGAAGACGTCAATCAGCTTGGTGCGCTGCGGCGTGCTCTTGACGTAGTGGTTGTAAATGTTGGCCAGGACCTGGTCCCAGTTCTGGGCGCCGCTGCCGGTGCTCTTGGGGGTCATGGTGATGGGTACGGCCTTGGGCTGCGAGGTCATTGTGCCCGGGATCGCGGCGGCGGCGGTCGGTCCCGCGGGCGAGGTGGGCGGCTCGGGGTGGTGGACTGCGGGAGCGGCAGCAGCTGCTGCTGCTTTTTGGGAGGAGGCGGTTCGCTTGGGCGCCATTGTTGGAAGTTCTCACGTCGTGATTCGGAGAGGGAGGGTTCGGCGGTGTTTTGGGAAGAAATTTAGAGGTATCGTGAGGTCGGCTGGGTGGTGGACCGAAGGGTTGAGGAGATGTCTCCTTCCAGATTGTCTCGATTGCTGCGTACGTACTGCGGTCACTGGTACAATTGAGAGCTGGGGGGAGCTCTGGAGGACACGAAAGCTTGAAGCCACAGGGCGTCAGGTGATAGATGTGGCTGGTGTGGCCTCTACCCCTGGACAAGAGCGTTGCCAAGCCACGAATCTGGGGTAGCAGTCCAGTGGTCCCTGGCGACTCCCGGTGCGCGTGCCCCTGGGTAATGTCGTGATTAGTCAGGGTCCCGGGAATGGATGAGATCATCCAGCAGCTTTCCCATAAGCTGTTCCTTTTCGAGTGGGTGGGAGGCCGAAGCTTGGACTTCCCGAGGCACCGAAGCAACAACGGCCTTTTGCTCATAAACAAGCAATTGCTTTCTTACATCAATTCCAAGTCAATCGCAAACCTAACACCAATTGAATTTGTGCTCTCAGCAACTTCTCACAAACAAATACTTCAAAATGGTACAATGACTTATTTCTCTCACAAGAACACAAAGCTAACAAAAGACACATGCGCAGTCCTCTGACCTCTCTGTCCCCTCCTTCGCCCTGGCCGTACTGACGGCCGGAGGCGGCATCGCCGGCTACGCCCGGACAAAGTCCGTCCCGTCCATCGTCGCCGGAGTCAGCGTCGGTCTTCTCTGTACGTACAAGCCCTTTGCGCCGTCTTCCCCTTTTCCCTCCATCTCTCAACAATCCCCTCGATCCGCTTCCCCACCATCCATCCCCTGCCCCGCGTTGTCGCATAAGTAGCTTTAGTGGGTTGGCATAGTTGGACTGACCTGAACTCTGAAACCACGCAGACGGCCTCGGCGGCTACCGCATCCAGAACCGCGAGCCCTACGGCGTCGAGCTGAGTCTGCTCGCCTCAGCTGTCCTCGGTGGCTCCGCCATCCCCCGTGCCATCCGCCTCCGCAAGCCCGTGCCGATCCTCCTCAGTGTGCTGTCCGTCTTTGGTCTCTTCACCTTTGGCAACGAGTTCCGTCGCACTTTGTAAAGAGAGAGCGTGTCTGAGAGGGATTGTAGGATTGCTGGATGAAAAGAGTATGGGTGTTGTTTTTATAAGAATACAGATTATTCAAGAATTTCACCGTCTTGTTCTTCTCTGCCGGCGTGAGAACATCGATCGAGTACAATCTATGGTACAATCTCTTGCTCCCTTATCGGACGCCAAAAACCATTGGATCGCTCATATTATTTCTGGTATTCCGTCCCGACCCAAATGCCGTCGCCCAAAAATCGATGTAGTTGCGAGTGTTCGTGATATAATACATTGCTTCTTCTTGCCCTTCCCTTCAACTTGTACACCAGTCGTCTAGTCGCAACACGGTGCGGCTCGTTCGTTGGTCGTTCGCTTCTGTGGTTGGATCCGCAGTCTAATCGAGACCGAGCGACTTGTTGAGCTCCTTTATCCGGTTCTCGCGCTCCTCCCTCTTGGCCCTCGCCGCCGCCCGGTTGGCCTCGGTGCGCCTCGCGCGCGCGCCGCGGAGGCACTCGCTGACCTTGTCCTTTGCGTCGTTGCAGCCGCCGAGGGACTTGAACATGAAGCCCTTTGCGTGGCACTCTTCGAGGGCGACCATGATGTCTTCGCACTCTATTTCGCGGAGGGAAGCAGTCTGTCAGTATGTAACGATCTCATGTTGGGTTTGAAATCCAGGGGGAAAAGGGGGGAAGGTTGTGGCGATGCGACGGGGTTTGAGGAACCCAAGAGTGGGAGGGGCGCGGATAGGCATCATGACGGGTGCATTTGTTGGTGACTTACCGAAGTTGTCCTTGGTATGCAGGTGAGGATGCATCTTGACTTCGGTTCGAGTGTTGTCTTTGGGATTGGGAAAGGCCAAGAGAAGAGTTGTCAATCTGTCGTGGGAGGAAGAGTTTGTTCGTCGCCGGCGTTTGCTCTGTGGTCTGTAGATGCGCCAGAGGAAATTCCCAGTGAGTTCCTAATGCGATAAAAGATTGGGAATTGGCCTGCGAGGGATTGGATAAGACCACTTCGGCTCGGTGGGGCAGCAGACGGCGCGCCGGGCTTTGTGCATTTTCGGGGTGGTCACACTGCTGAAGTACTCCGTACACCTCACAGAGTGACAGAGAGCGCGGCAAAAGCTCGGGCCACCTCGAATGTCCCCTTCTAGAACTTCCATCCCACAGTTGGTCACTGCTTGCGCAGTGGAGGGGAGGGTCGATTACCTCAGGCTTGTTCGTTCGCTCCCTCACTGTGAGACTCAAAGCCCTGCATCGTACCTTACTTTCTTCAACCAGGTCTCATCAACCCCGGCCATTCACCTCTCACAGACTTGAACCTCACGATGGCGGCCCAAGTAAGTCAGAAGAAGCAGCAAGGTTAGTTGACTCACTCGCCACTTTTCGACCGTCGAGGGGGAAAACATGAGATGTTACTTTTTGGAAGAATAACCCCGCCATGGTTTTCCATTGCTAACCTGCTTTTCCCTCCAGACCTGCAAACGCAGTATGGCGTCTACAAGAACACCCTGCAACAGATCGCGCAAAAGATTGGCGATGTAGAACAAGAAGCCGAAGAACACAAGTGCGTCTCTTTCTCTATCTCTCCCTCTCGTCTTCCTCATGTTCACTTCATCCCATTCTCGCACGGCGGCGGCGGCGCAACCTCGAAGACAGACGGAGGCCATCACCCATACCCTGAATGAGATCGTGAACCCTGCGCAGGGAAAGGGGGTATAGGCACATGATGGGATTTCCCTTCCCTTCTCATCCTCAAACCGGAACTCACTCCGGCATGGCCCCTCACCCAACTCTTCGCCCTCATCACACCGCTCTTCACTCTTCATTCCTTCAGAAACTCAAACGACGAACCCTTGATGAACTCCCACCCCTCTCACTCCCCCTTACCCTCCCCCCCTCCTCGTTCCCTCTATCCCCGGCACACCGCCTCTCATGGAAAAACGAACCATTCTTATTCTGACCTTGACTCGTTTTAAACAGGCTTGTCCTAGAGACCCTGCAACCGCTGTCCGAGGACCGGAAGTGCTTCCGCCTCATCAACGGGGTCCTCATGGAGCAGACGGTCAAGGACGTCATGCCCGCCCTGACGACCAACTCAGAAGGTTTGAAGAAGGTCCTGGAAGACCTTGTCAAGCAGTACAAGGCTAAGCAGGACGAGCTGGAGAAGTGGAAGGTTCGTTTTGGATGCCAGAGACGTCGCTCCTTCCCCCCCCCCCCCCTCGCCATGAGGTCACTGGGTTGTAAACGATTCCTGACAAATGTGGAATTATAGAAGAAGAACAATGTTCAGGTTGTCCAGAACTGAGATGTAGGAACATTGGGTTTGGGTCACCATAATGTTGGTCGGCGACGTTGGCTTCGAGAGTCTTCGTTCAGCAGACTGACGACGACAGCCTTTCAGTCCGGTTGCTGCACAAAGACCCTTGGATCAGATGATTTGGACTGGGAGAAAGAATGCCTTCTGCGCCTTCTGTTCTCAATCAGGGGTTCTAGTTGCAGTCAACACGGAGAAGGGCACAAGGGACAGCAAAGTCGTCATGCGAATATCAAAGGCGTCCAAAATGAGGCGGCATCGAATACACCCATGGGCTGATGTTACGATGAGGGAAGGGAGCCAACTCAGCAAAACGTCTCAGTCTCAGGAAAATAGAGACATGAAGACTACGCAGTGGCAGCAATGCGTTGTTCAACGTCGTAGCCTTGTGAGACATCAGAAGCAATAGAGATAACGGCGGTAACCGCGTTTCAGTGCCCAACGAGATCGTACTTGTAAAGGTCGTCAGACTGGCACACCACTGGGAAAAGTCCATTGGCACGTCTGGCGGTTCAAGATTGATGGCTGGCTGAGATCGACCCAACTGGCGAGGCGTGCTTACTGGCTGCCTGTCATGCGGCCTAGTGACGAAAAGGTGTGCTGCGCGCGGCCTCTGACAACCTTACGGCAGTTCGCTCGCTTCTGGAAAGCCTCCTTTTTTCGGGGCTACGAGACCAATGCCTACCTACTATCTCACGTCGTCCCTTTGGAAGAATGACGCTAAACACATAAAATATGTCTTCCACTTGGGAGAGAAGGCACCACGGAGCGGAGGCGGACCGGCCCATGTTGGCCAGCGACGGATTGGGGCCTGTCCAGACGCCAGAAGCTGTCCCGCGTGTGCGCATATGGAGCCTATCTGTCTGATGGGCAGAGGGCGGCCATCCGATTCGTAAAGTGCCAAGGGATGAAACGTAAGGTCTGCGGTGATCGACTGACGTTCCCGTTCTGAGGGTTCCTACAGCAGTGATATCATGCTTTCTCGAACTGATGCCCAACGAGCGGCACGATTTGATCCTGATCCGTGGTCAGCCGCTGGCTAAGTAGATGCGGGAGGCATCCAATGGTCTAGATCCGCCTCGCTGTTCCATGGAGTTTTCTCATAGTCGCATGCATCCTGTACGCACAAGTACGAAATCGCATTCAGCAAGTGGGTTAGCGACACCATGGACTACCCAATATGGACATGGTCGCGGACACTGGCAGTGGGTTATTGACGACCGTCTAGACCTAGTCATGCATGGCCGTACCTGGGCTTCGGATGATGTCGAGAAAGAGTCATATTGAGTTGTAGACAGGGCGCAGGACTCGATAGTCGAAATTGACACAGCGACGACGTTGCCCGATTCCCCGATGCTGGTGTCGGGCAGTTGAACAGTTTGATGGCTCACGGTGCCCCTCGGCGGTGTTGTAAGAGACCAGGGTTGACACAAAAATGTGGCTCTGAGTTGTCACCAGCTCTGGGATGAGAAGCAGCGCAGCCAACACATGCAACCCTTTCGCCTGTGACATGAAATCACTCGCAACGGCGAGGGAAGGCCGAAGTGCGTACGGATACTGACACGGTAGGTATACATACACCGTACCCCTCTCGCCATGATGAGCGGGAAAAGGAGGGGTAGGAACCGCATCATCCGGACCAGGGTCGTGGAAAACAAGAGTGGAAGGTCAGCGCATCGCTGCATCGCAGGAGTTTTTGGTGGTGGTCCTTCTGTTTGATGCGGCAGGCATCGTCCAATCCGAGCCCAATCCAAATAAAGGGTTATTGGCTCCCGACAGAGCAGAGGAGCCCAACTTCGATGAGGGTGACTGGCTGAGTTGGCGGTTGTCTGTTGCAGCGCTGCATGCAGGGTCGGGCGTACTGTAAGGCGATGGGCCGCCGATTGGTGGCCAGCGCCTCTTTGAGACAGATTGGAAGAATTTCTCCGCGACTTTCTTGCTGCTGATAAAAGTGGTGTTTGAGTCGCACGTCTGGCTGGTGTACCCAGGGCAACCAACGCCAACTCGGGCTCTCTCTCGCGTCTCATTTTAGAGCGAATGAAACATCATTGGATGTCATGTTGCGCAGCCTTGTGTGCGTGTATCTCAAATGGCCAATTCAAGAGGCTCCTCTCCAGAGTTATCGTGCCCGAAGAGGCAAGTAGCTGTACGAGCCAACCAAGGTGCACGTTTCGGCCCAAGCGGTCGTCATCCAGGGCGCTTGCTTAGGCTGCCGTCAGCCTTCTCGTGCCTGACACGGTCTGGTTTGGGGGCGATGATGAAATAGACAGCTGACAGGTTCGACGGCTTGTTTACTCCAGACGGTGCCATTGTCAAATCAACCGGCGCCCTCGCCCTCCCACTCGGTCTTGTCGCAACGGATGAGCTACCCAAACTGCCACAAGTCGCACGGCCGGGGAATCCACATCGGTATAAGGAATTATCGTATTGCGCCAGCTGCATCTTTCTTTTGATGACGCCTGTTGAGGAGGATGGGCATGGGCCCGCGCGATAGAGCTTACCGGTGCTCTTAAGCCGACGTTTTTGGTTTCCCCACCTCAAGATCAAAGGTATCATCAGCAGACTTGCAAGAACAGAAGCTCACATCATACTTCCGTCCCGTTATATCGGTTGTGCTTCATGCACCCGCTTGGCGTCCGCCATGGGCCGATGAAAGGCAAGGTAGCCGTGCTGGCTACCCTCCTCTGAGCTTAGTGAAGTGGCTTTGCGCAGCCCATCCGTACACCGCTCATATACGGGAGGACGGGCAGGATGACCAGCGTCCGTGTTGATACAGCATGAATGCATGCAATGACACATCAAACTTGGCTAGGCAGGAGTGTCGAAAGGGATGGGAGAGGTAAATAAGAGCAGCCTTTCTTGTACCTTTCGTCGATCCCATGGTGGTGCTGTTAGACGACGGATTCTAAGCTTCCGAAGGGTAGTTTTGATCTTTGATCTCGGATGCTTCTGCCTCGTGGTCTGACGGGGTTTCTTTTGCAGGGTCGAAGATGTCGTCAGACTGACAGACGCCCAAACTGACATCCGAGCGCGTGAGCTTGGTAAAATTGAGTATGCGAAAGAGCAGTCGCAGCTTCCAGGTTCGGAGCGCATCCCCTCAGCCGCGTGGTGTTAGGGAAGAGGATCAGATGGATGGGGGACCCAGGTACCACGCTAAACCTTAGAGGACGATATGGAGCTGACAGGTACTTGCCAATATGGGGGGAGACGCATATCATCCGAAAGTATCTACCGCGTTATCGATAAACCGGCTGGTGGGCAGCGCGACTTTGAGGGACTTTGGCCTTGTTATTGTGTTTAATGCGCCGGCCTCTTGTTGACCGCACCTTCATTGCCCACTTAGGTTTCCCTCCATTTCTCCCTTCTGCACCAACCCCACGTTCTTGCAGCCATCAACAAGTACAGGTGTATCCTCCTTTCAAGGCGCATTGTTAGGGTCTATTGCGACCTCGATCGAACAACTCAGACACCCCAAATTCATGTAAGGAAAAGAATTCTACAACCCCTTGTCGACGGCACTTGCTGGCCCCTCTTCCATGTTTCCCCCCAGCCACACACACACACCACAGGCGCACACAACCACACACGACGCGCGCGTTGAGTGCTTAGGTTCTTCACTGTTCGGCCTCTTCCCACTCGTCTCACGCCCCGTTTCCCGTCCCTCTCTCTTTCTCTGTCCCGTTCGGGTCAAGCGAAGCTTTTCTCTGACGCGCTTTTGCAGCTGTTACCTTTTGATTCCCCTATCACGGCTTTCCCGTCCGGTCGACCGGTGTGTAACCAAAGGACGACTCTTTGCGCGCCCAAAGCTCGGCTCAAAGTCTCAACGACACGCCAAAATCCGTACTGTACCAGCAAAGGCCCGGCTGCCCACGCGCCTCCTCGACGCAGCGCTCCGCACCTCCGCCCCGAAAAGCTCACACAAGTACCTTACCTCTCTTCGCCTTGGGGATACCTGATTCGACCCAACTTCACCCACCCCCATCGCGACTCGCAAACCCCATCTACCTTCCGCCTTACAGGTCAAACCCGCGCCGAGCTTCGAGCACCAACCCGGAGGACCGCGCATATCCACAGCTGCAGCAGGGCGATCGAGAAACGTCTCTGCCAGTTCGACGCTACCCTCTCCTTGGACTAGACGTTGGCCATTCCTGTGGGACCCGCAAACGCAGCCACCCTCATCCCGCTTTTTTCCAAGTCTCTGTCGCCAAACTCAACCCGGGCAAGGCAGCATACAGGCCACCCCAGAAAGATCCGTCATAGCCTGAAGTCAAGACAGGGCCTGCCAGGGGATCGCGAGTAAAAATAATCCTTTCCAGGACAGCCCGGGACAGGATTGACGCACACTTTCTGCAGCTAAGCCGCCAGACTTGCAAGCCCTACGGACCTGCAACGTGTCAGGGAACACATCATCCTAAGCCCGTCGTGTGTGCGAGCTGCAAGAGCCAAAGCAAATTACAAGAACGCCAGCAGCCGCTGCAGGTAGCCAAATATGTCGGACTCCCCCCAATCTCCTCCCAAGGATGTCGACCAAGGTGTACAATCACCGGAAGAGGAACAAATGAACGAGGCTCAAGACCCACAGTCCGGTGGACTCACCTATGAGTTCGAGGTCAAGGAGCAGGACCGCTGGTTGCCCATAGCCAATGGTAAGCCAGATCCCCTTCCCCAACGAATTCGAGAAGCCGGCGACGACGACGACGATGCTTGACCTGGGGCTCTATGTTTGCTTGCGGCTGCTATGACTATGGTCTATGAACCGGATTGGTCAGTCTGCTCGCTTGCTCTATGCTTCCACTCGCTGTTCTTTGACGTTGGTTGCGAATCAGTCAACCAAAGCATCATCAGAGACGGCAGCGCAGGGCTAGAAGGGATCAATGTCTCACGAATCGTCCCCAAAGTCGCCAGAAACAACAGGTGCTTCTGGCGGTGAGAAGTACGATGAACTTGACGCTAATATACGCAACTTTGCTCCAGTCGCTCGCATCATGAAGAATGCGCTCCCTGAAAACGCAAAGATCGCCAAGGAAGCGAAAGAATGCATGCAGGAATGCGTCAGCGAGTTCATCTCCTTCATTACGAGTGAGGGTAAGTAAAATCTCTTCCCGCTGCTCTCCCCGAGTTTAGGGGCAACTTGACTAAGGAGGTAACTGACCTATCACAGCCTCGGAGAAGTGTCATCAGGAGAAGAGAAAGACGGTTAACGGAGAAGACATTCTATTCGCCATGACTTCTTTGGGATTCGAGAACTACGCAGAAGCCCTCAAGATCTACCTCTCGAAATACAGAGAAGTATGTATAGTTCCTAAACAGGCTCAAAACTCTGCCGGCATCATCCTCTAAACAGGACCAATGAGCTCAACTGACGATTCCAGCAGCAATCCCAGTCCAACAGGGGAGAAACCTCCCACCGTCCAGGCAGCAGCGGCTACGGCGCCAACCCGCCAACCGGAGCAGGAAGTTTCCAAGCCGAGCCACAAAACAGCGTCCTCGGAGGCCAGCAAGGAGATGGCACCGCCGACGCTCAGGGCTACATGTACGGCGCGCAGACGGCGCACAATGGTACCGGTGGCGCCGACGGCTACCAGTAATGTGATTTACACCTGAGACGACTGGACAGTGTTTTGAAAGGGCGATTTTATTTTTTCTCCATCTCGACATATATGTACTAATTGCGACTTGACGACCAAGCCCGACGAATGAAGGACGCCTGGACATTTGTTCAAGTCTGTATAAGTACGGAGGCAGGGGGTCTCAGACTACCTGACCATGGATGGAATGGGGCACATGGTTGTATATGAGGGCCTTAGGAGTCAGTTATGGGAAGGGGGAGCGGAACGGTTAATCCAAAAGTGTGGAGTGGAGGGGGTTCGTCTTTTCTTTGACTCAAGTGTCTATTTGATAGATTCCCCTCAATGGCGTTGCGATTCAGTAAGCCATGCTCGACCAATTAGCGGTTTTGAAGCATCGGCAGAGAGCAGTTCAGCAAGCATCGAAGCTTTTGGAAACGGACCCGGGCCGTATCTCCAAAGCACTGGTAGCTACAGCACTTCAGATAGCTTGTTATTCCACTTCCGTCGCGCAAACGAACGAGGCACATGGACTCAGTTGTCATGTCATGTTTCATCTCGTGCAGCACGGTCAGGGGCTACAGTTGAGGGCTACTCATGTAACTTGTCCATACCGTGTCTGCGTTTGTAAAGTATCCAAGGTATGTCGAAAAAGATATCCAATAAGAAGCTCAAAGAACGTCGTCATAGGCTTCAAGGTTCCCCAGTATCTTAGCCACCACTTAGATTCCCGGTCCACCAAGCTCATTGTTCCATTCCCGAGAGTGCACGGTCCAGAAGAATTCCAGGGGTCTTGAGTGCTCTGAATGACTGAGCCTGGGGCAGCCCACCAGCCCAAGTCCCCAGGTCGAACGAGGCACGTGCGCAGCCCCTCCAGTCACAAAATTTTCCCCCCTTCGCAGGTGGCAGCCAAGCAGAACGGCGGGCAGCCCACTCGACGAAAAAAAGCATCGGCGGCAGCTCACGCCCGAACTAGAAACTTTACCAGGCAACCAACCGCCACCGTACCACGAAATAAGTTCGGTCGGCCGACACAATCACGCCCAGAAACCAACACATTCTTTCGAGGACAATAATTCGAAACGAGTCCACATCGTCGCAAGAGACCGAGACATGCATAACGACTTTCCCTGCAGATCCTCGCGCCACACGTTGACCCTTCAATGAGAATTGTCAGACGCCGACCACTGTGAAGATCTGACCTCGAGCCCGAGCCGCCGAAAGAAAGAGAGGAAAGACGAAGGCGAGAGCACAGAGCCTTGATCACCAACAACAACACATTCTCATGCGTCCTTTCACCCCCATTTCCAGACACCGGTCTGGTCCGCCACCGAGAACGGCGACGCCCATCAAAAGCATCCTACGTCAGACAGTCCTGGGCCGGAGGAAAGCTGACGAAATTGAGTTCGATGACCCACCTCCGAGCCCAACAAAGAGGCGGAAAGTACTCATCAACGAAATGAATAACCGCGTCTTCGAGTTTGGTAGTCGCTCAATGGACGAGGTGAACTCGGAAGTGAGGAAGGCGCTGGAGGAGCACCTCATGGGCGAGGATGAGGACTACGACATGCTCAAGGAGATTTTCGCCAACGACAAGCAGCGATACCTGCCACCCGTCGCCGGAGAAGACGAAGATACGCTCAAGCCCCAAGAGCTCAAGGGCTACGTTCTGGCGCTGACCAGCTGCGTGCCGCTATTGAAGAACAAGGCATGCAATGGCCTCGTGAAGACGGTCTTGCAGGTCTCGTGGCTGGGCCGAGACGAGGACTTCTTCAAGGTGTACATCCAGTTCCTGGCCGCCCTCGTCAGTGCCCAGGGATCCTATCTGACGCATGTCTTGTCCATGATTGTGGAAAAGTTCTCCCACTCCAGACAATCTGAGTGGGGCGTCGCCGATTTCCCTACCGTCAGCCGAACAACGATGCGCGAAAGGCTACACACCGGCCTTCAGTACATTCTTCAAATGTTCCCCGCGGCCACGCCTGTTCTCCGCGGCCTACTCGAAACCAAGTTCCCCTTCGACGACGACCCGAAGAAAATGTTCGTAGCCTATGTCAATAACCTTTTGCGGTTGAAGGAATACGCGGGAGATTTGGACCTCGAAATTGTCGACGTGCTGCTGTCACGACTGGTTAAGATTGATGTCCAGATGCAGACGGATCTCGACGACCTCGACGACGACCTCACGGCATCGGTTGCCTACGCACTCAGCAAGTCTCTGGATACCGGCTCATGGGAGGGCGATGAGGATGCTTCGGACGAGGACAGCGACGACGAGTCCGTCGACAGCGATGATTCCGACTTTGATGACAATGAAGAAAAGATTCGAGTGGTCAAGGGCAATGTTGAAAAGCTGGATGCTATCCTCGATACGCTGTTCGCCCATTACACACCCCTCTTCGAAAACCCCGACTCAGATCAAGCCTGGGAGCGGTATGCCCTGCTCGTACAGTCATTTGGAAAAATCGTGCTGCCGACGTACAAGTCCCGTCATACACAATTCCTCCTTTTCCACTTTGGCCAAATGTCAGCTCGCTTGCGCGACACCTTTGTCGGCAGTTTGATGCACATCTTTGGTTCGCAAAACCGACCGAGCTTCGTGCGTCAAGCGGCGGCAACATACCTCGCCGGATTCATGGCGCGAGGCGCCCATGTGCCGTCCGACTTGGTGCGCACAGTGTTTGCGCTCTTGCTCAAGCAGATGCAAATCTACCGCCTCAAGCACGACGCGGACGCTCGAGGACCGGATCTGAGAAGACACCAGATCTACTACGCACAAGTACAAGCCGCGCTGTACATGTTCTGCTTCCGCTGGCGCGACTTGAACGTGTCTACACCCGAATTTGTCGACCCAGAGGACCCTGCATCATATCTCGGTCACGAGCTGGAGTGGATGCAAGGGATGAGAGAAGAGCTTTCTGCCAGCGTGTATTGCAAGATGAACCCTCTCAAGATCTGCGCACCGGCTATTGTCGAGGAGTTTGCGACACTATCACACAAGCTCGGTCTTATGTACATCTTCCCACGTGTTGAGGAGAACAAGCGGATCAGACTGTCACAATTCGTGTCAGATACCTACGGAACAGGTGGCGCCCTCCGAGATACGGGCTCGGGGGCGCAAGACGAGGAAGCATACCAACTCGACCCCTATTTCCCGTTCGACCCTTACCAGCTGCCTGTGAGCAAGCGATGGGTTCAGAACGATTACGTGCACTACCAGGCTATCCCGGGTCTTAACATGACGGCCGATAGCGACAGCGAAGACGACGACGACGACGAGAACATTCCGGAGACGGACGTTGAAGAGGACACTGCTACCGCCAGTGAGGATGAAGACGACGACTGAAGCGGGCTCTGTGAGAAAGAGAGGGCGGATTAAATGCATTCATACGGCGTTGGGCGGTCACAAAAAAGTAAAAGCGAATCTGGGCCAATTTGGCATTGATTACATGATTCCCGCAAGGCGTTGGGCGTGAAGAAGAAGAAGCAGAACAGATTTGAGCTGGTGGAGAGTGGTGGCAATATTTCTGCAAGCAGGCCATGTTGAAGATGTTGAAGAAGCAAATTTCTGAACCGCTCTAGGAATAGTGGTAGTGAGAAAGACGGGTAGAGCTACCTAGCTTTCGTCAACCCACAACAAGGTTTCTGCAGTATAATGAAAATTAAAATCATTGCCAACACTTGTTTCTCAGCCTTCAGCCTCACACCCGCTCTCATTCCTTCGCTTCTCGATGCCACCTCAGCCAGTGACAAATCGTTGCACTATTTTGAATCTGATTTGAAAAGAGACGGAAAGGGATACCTACTACCTTACAGGCGTACCTTAGTAAGATATTATCAAGGTAACTCAAATTCTTAGATTCTATCGAGATTGCAGCTGAGGTGACACTGCCTCCCTCCCCAAGGTATAATGGTGCGGTGTTAGGCGCCAGGCACGTGATGTGATCGGCCACTTGTCCCTCAATTGGATAAGCGCGGTCCCTCTCCTCGCTTCCCTCTCCTCCGGCCTGTCGCTTAGTTCCCTTTGACATGCCACTGTGCCGCCCGGCAGACGGACCAGAATCCCTGAGAATCCCTGGGAGGGGGGCAGTTTCCTGTGCTGTGCTGCGCAGTGCTGTACGCTGCGGCGCTCTGGTGGTCCCTGCCAATGGCGAGGAAGTTTAGCTGCTCTGGCGCCCTCTCTATCTCCATTCTCCGGGCCCTTTCCTCCTGCTCTTGCGGAGGTGCGCTGATGAAGAGGAGGAGAATGAGGGTCTCCTCTCCCCCCCCCGAAGGCGGGCAGAAGAAAAGAAAAAGGCGCCCATGGGAATTTGGAATTCGCCCATCTTTAAGACGGGCGAAATCCCTCACGGCCTCCCCCTTCCCATAGTTTCAAAACTCCGCTCCGAACGGTGGGGGAACATTTTCATCTGCAAACGAAAGAGAGCGGGAGAAAAAAAAAAACGTGACGACACTCTTTTCGTGAGCGATCGATCAATCGGAAGTCGTCGACGCCAAACGTCACCCCGCTCATATCATCACTCAACTCGCCTCACTTCACGCACTCATTCACTATCGCACTCACTCACATTTCACCAACCCACCCAGGACACCGACCTACACCACAGCCTCCCATCGTCAGCGGCGAAGTTGCAGCGCCCAGCTTATCTCCATTGAAATCCACGACGTGTCTCGCGGTAATGGCGGACAATCAGGTGCGGCTGCAGAACAAGGCTTCGGTGAGGGCGGGGGAGGGGCAGCAGCAGCAGCACCTCACCCAACACCAAGGCCAAAAACTCCAGGGCCAGCAACGGCAGCAATATGACAGGTCAACGAGCGGCGACAGTCGAGCGGGCTTCGAAGAGTATTGGAGGGAAGAGAAGGAAAGCGAGAGGGCTGGGAGGGTGCAGTTCGTAAACGAGGGGCCGCCTTACCATCATCAATCGTCGTCGTCGCCGTTGGATCACCAATCGCAGCAGCTGTCTGGAGGAGAGAATCAGGAACGGCAGGGTTCTTGTGAGTATTTTGTTTTGTCTTCTTCATTCTGATGTTTTTTTTTTTTCTGGTAAAATTCGTGTCTTGCAAAGTTGCGATGACAAGTGTCAAGATTGTCTTCCCCTTCATCCCGTCTTATCCTTGATCCCACATGCGCTCGTCCCATTTCTTATTTTTATTTTCCTATTCTCCTCCCGCCCGTTTTTGATTCACATATCCACCTACCTTTCTCGGCCTTCATGATTCCACACACCTTTCGTTGCCCTGATTTTCTTGGTATTCCCTACCACTACCGTCCTTCCCTGTAACATCGTGGCCCGCCCGTCCGCCCGCCCCTCTCCCGTCCTCTCGATCGGCGAGTGTTCCGCCAGGGTCCTGGTGAATCGCGTCGAATATGTTGGTGGTTTCAGTGACCTTGTGTGGAACCGGCCTTTCTTCCCCATAATCAATGCCCATGGATGTCTCACAGACGAATACATGGGGCGGAGGGGACCGACAAGCCATGATCCAGAAGTGGTGGATGGTGGGATGGGGATGGACTTTGTGAGTTATGCTTTGTCAACCCCATGCCGGATTCCTCATGATTCCTCATCATCATGCCACCCGCATCACACCCGAACCCTCTTGTGGCGTTAGACCCTTCCCGCCGCTAAGGAGTCCGAACTTGGTGTGGTGGATTCGGGTGGTTCGCGAACCGACCACAATCGCTGCTTGCTTGGCCTGCCCTACCATGCTTTTAGCTATCCCATTACCCAATGAACCACGTTTTTTCCTGTTGGTTTCTGGGAAAGCCGCACGAGCAATGCCAGGGGATGGGAATTGCTGTCCCTGCATCTCCCTTCCCGACTTGATTCCAACGTCTCCCGGCTCGACGGTTGCCCGATGCGGTACACCGCTGGTCATGGACCCCCGCGAATCACGTCTAGACCAGGCTTGGCTCCTGGAATCATCCATTCTCTATTCAGAGACCATTGTAGCCGTACCTTGGACGTATCTCACTTCACTTACATCCACACTTTGTCCCCCATATACGAAATACCCATGCCACCTTGACAGACATCTAGATTTCACCCCCCGTCTACTTCTAAGCTCCCGTCTTGGCTCCCATTCTCATATGCTTATATCCTCTGTCAATCCCTCTTTCTTTCTTCCACGTGGGAAATCCATCACTTGAGAAACCCGCAGATTCCTAGACCAGGGAACTAACATAGTCCAACCCCCAATTCCAGCAGAATCAACGACACCCGGCCTCACGCCCGCAGAAAAGGCCAAAGAGAAGGCCAAGTTCCGCCGCCAGCAGGTCCGCAAGGCCCAAATCCAGCACCGCACCCGCAAGGCCAACTACATCAAGCAGCTTGAGCTCGACGTCTGCAAGTTCAGGGATATGATCGCCGCCGCCGAGAAGGAGGTCCTCGCCTTCCGCCGCGAGAACGAGAGCATGAGGGGCGCCCTCACCGCAAGAGGATTCGTGGCACCTCCTGAAGGCGCAAAGGGCGAGAGCGTCGTCGTTAGCGAGGTGCGGATCCGCGGGTCGCAGGAACCCGTGGCGGTGCCGGAAGAGGTGTCGATGGCGCCGGCGATGGTCCAGCAACAACAGCAGGCATTGCCTCCCGTCCCGGCACAACGGCAACTCTCCCATCAGTCAGAGGACGAACAAGCACAGGACTCGGCGGCCGCTCCCCTGCCGGAAGAATCCCAGGTGGCGGCATACCCACCTCAGACCCTGCACTACGACCCGTACCCGCCGGTCGACCTCTTCGCGGACGTCAACATGGGCGAGGTCACAGTCACTATGCGCAAGGACGACGCCCTTGGAACCCTATGCTTCCAGATCTCGTCGCCATCGGCCGCAGTCGTGTATACCCAGTCTCGACCGTCGTCAGCAGATCAGTTGTCTGCGGAACAGGAAATCATTGCCATCAACCTCATTCTCGCGTATGTTACACAAAGCCTACCTACCCCCTACAATCGTCCTTGCTGTACAGTAATTTACTAAGTTCCCTCCCCAAAACAGCATGGAACACATCTGCTGGAACCACTTCCACCCCCGCCAATTCCCCGCCCACGGCGACACCTGCAAAGCCGCCTCTGGCCACACAATGATGGCCTCGACCCTCTGCATGTCCTCGGCCCCCGCCCGCGTCTACCGCACCATCCGCCGCGGCGAGGCCTCCACCGTCTCGCACACCTGGCAAGCCGACACGGGCGCTGGATCCTCTCTATCTCTCAAATCCCTGCTGGCCCTCGCCAAGACGCTGAACCCGGGCGACATCGAGCTCACCCCCGTACAGGCGTGGTTCGAGCTCGCGGCGCGGTACGGGGCCGCGGCGCTGATGCGCGGCAACGTGATTGAGGCGCTCAAGAGGGAGTTTTGCGGGGTGGTGGATTGTATTCACTTTGGGGCTATCATTGAGCGGGACGCGTTTGAGAGTGTTGTGGCGAGGGTTATGGAGCAGGTGGGTGTTCCGGAGCTGGAGTGGGAGATGGATGTCGATGAGGGGGCGGGTGTGCCGCAGGCCGGGGGTATGGTGTATGGTGCGCAGCAGATTACGGCTTGAAAGTGAGGGTTTATCCGGAGAGGAGGCCACCCGCCCCCATGACCTAGCATTTTGACTGCGGGAGTGGGAAGGGTTGCTTGGACGTGCTGCATGGTTTCGATTGCATATCGTCTACTCCGTTGAGGCGACTGATGAATTTACGACGGTTTTACGACTTTACAAAAGGGAGAGAAGGGGATTTAGGCCGCATATTTTGCATCTCTAGACTGAAGACAGACCAAGGATGAGATACAGATAAACTGCAAAGAGAAACATGGTCCCCTAGAAAGCAGGGGACTTTACAAAGAGTACGTATCAATTAAGCAAGCCTTTCAGTTTCGTTCAAGCAGGAGCTTTCAAGTTTACTTTACACATATCAAGAGCCTTTGTAAGGACCTGGCAATCGTCTCATACAGAGCTGGCCAGCAGGGGCAAACTGGCCTCATTTGGATATCGACTCTGACCCTTGGAGATTAGATGAGGAAAAAAAAAAAAAAAAAAAAAAAAAAAAGATACAAGTCCCTGACCTATGCCCCTCTGGTAAACGTCTGTCCTCAATTACAGCACGGAAATGTAAGAGAACGAAGTGAAGTCAAACGGGTTGTCAACGGGGCGCTTGCCAAGCTTCGCCATGATTGGACAGGCATGCCACTGACTGCGCTGTTCCTCATGTGAGAAGGTGGAGATGTATGCAATGCATGTGGAATCTTCTGTCGGTACGCCGTACCTTTCACAATGTACCGGAACCTCTCTGTCCGCCTCCTCACCGAAACTCCTCGCCCAGCCCAAACGTGCCGACTTTACCAACTAGTAGGAGCGAAAATGGACATCCAAACGGGAAAAATTCCCCACATTGTCTCATCGTGATTGGGAAATAGCGAAATTTTGTCTGGCTGGCTGGTTAGATGAATGGATGTTAGGAAGTATGTATGTAATACGTCGATCCCTCCTTTGGAATTTTTGTCATCTTTGGAATCATTGTTTCCCTCTCCATTCACCGCTGCAACCTCCAATGCAGGCACAGGGAAGGGACACCGGGGAAGATCATCTGGTGGAGAAAGGAAGACGGGGGGCCTGTTACGGAGTATTTCGTTTCCACAATTCTTATTTACAATATCATACCATGTACACGGAGGTCTTGTCAGACCCGAAAACTTGCAGGAAAAGAAGGAAAAGCAAGACAACGTTGATAGATGGCAAGTGTGTTAGGTTCTCCTCATCTAAATCGTCTGCGGAATGCAAGATGGGGGACCCTGTTCGGGATTTGGTCGTTCAGCTCTTTCCTAGTGTGGTGAGTAGCGGTGAGTTGATATTCCTCATCAGTGGGGGTTTCGACTCTGAAAAATGCTTTGTTCGACCATGACAACGTAGTACTAAGTCCTTGGACTAGTCTAGCAAGAATTGGAGGGGTCTAACGCAATACCTAGCTTGCAAGGTCCGGGCCAGATTCAGCCTCAATATCAGCTCAATTCCGCATAGAACTTGAATCAAGGCAGCAGTTGGTGGATGGCACACTCTGTGCACCTCATAACCCAAGAAGCAACTTACAAGAGCACATCACATTCAACGACGTACCGCAAGATTTGAATTTTAAATGATTATAATTATATACTAAAACTAGTCTGCAGAAATGCCAAGTGTGGCCTCGTTGTTGTAGGAGATTTACCCAAGTCCTTGATGGACATCGTCATGAGTATTTGTATTCCCTTTGAATAACGAAAAATAAAACTCCCAAATCATATTTCGCCATAGTGACTGTGTGTGTGCCTGTATGTGATCAGACATGTGTTTTTATCCCTAGGTCTAAAAGAAAGAAGATGCCCGAGAAGAAGAGAAAGTTTGGGATATCGCTTGTGAAAATAGTCAGGTAAAATGAAAAGAGCTCTTGGGACACAAAGCTCAAGTCTAGTTGGAAATAAATGACGCTTTGAATGTTGTAAAGATAGTGGCTTTTAGACACCGGGCACCTTGAAGCCGGAGACTTGGGGCCAGTTGCCCAGACTGGCGGGGTCGCCACCGATGCGGACATAGACACCGACAGCGGGAATGCCGCCATCGAGGACGAAGAACTGGTACCAACCCGGAGGGGCGATACCGGCGTTGGGAGGTGCCGTGACGGTGCAGGTGGTAGGCCCGCAAGTGACGGCGGGGAAGAGGGTGCGAGCACCCATTGAGTTACCGTGCGTCGATCCCACGGCACCGAGGAGAGAGACCTTAATATCGCCGTTGACAGGGGCGTGGCCGAGGCTGACAGAGATCTGCTGGCCGTAGGTCCAGTCCGTGTTGGTGATGGTAAAGGTAGGACGAGTCTTGCCGGAGGTGAGGTAAGGAGGCTTGAAGACCTCGACACGGTACTCCTGGGGGTTGACACCATCTTCAGGGTCAGAACCACTGACGAGAACGCGACCGTCAAGAAGAGTGATGGACTCGGAGTGGTAGAGGCGGGCAATGGTGGTGTTGGCCATGACTGTGATGCGCTGACCAATCTTCTTCGAGGGGTCGTACAGAAGAGCATTGAGGTTGGGGTCGTTGGCAAGACCGAAACCAGCAACACCGTGCTGAGCACCGTTGTTGATGAGGAAAGTTCCATCAGGAAGGGGGGCAATGCAGGACATGACACGACGCGAGGGCATACGCTCAATCACCCACTTAGGGTTGGTGCCTTCGGGCTCAATGGAAACGCAGTTGTCCATGGCAGTAGCAGGACCCTCAGTAGAACCACCGCAGATGAGAACGCCAAGCGGATCGGTGTAGGGAGCGTGCTGGGGAAGAAGAACGCCAGTTCCCTCAAGAGGATAAGTGCGGCCGCCCTTGGGGTTGTTTACAGCGCCAGGGATGTTGGGGAGAATCGTCTTGGTGTTGAAGGTAACGTGGTCGAGAATCCTAGCCTCGTTCCAGTACGCGACGAAGATGTCCTGACTGGGGAGAACGGCAACGAAGGGGTACAGGTTGTTGGGATCAGTACGCGCAAGCCAGTCCATGTACAATGGCTTAGTGCCAGTGCTGGGCAGAAGCTCGATGGTGGGCACAGCGCGACCATTGGATCCCTCCTCACCACCGATGACGAAGATGGAACCGTTGGCCATGATCATGGCAGAGGGATACCAGCGGCCATCCTGCAGGCGGAGGTTGGTAACGTCCTCCTGCCAGTCATTGGTGCCAGGGGTTCCAGGCTTGCCATCGGGCCAGTACAGGCGGACGCCGTAGGTGGAATCACCAGACCATCCACCAATGTTGAGCTGGCGACCGGCCTTGTCAGGAAGGGTGATGCCGGCAGAGCAGAAGATGTCGGTCTTGACGTGCATTTCTCTCCAGGCTTTGCTGATATCCGGGACGAGGGAAAGGTCGAGCTCGTAAGCGCCGGTAGAGTTGGGCGGGCCAGTGCCGAACTTCTCGAGGAAGGAAACCTTACCGGTGATGGTCTCCATCGTCATCAGGGGAACGGTTACACCGCCAATGAGGTTCTCGTAGACACCGGCACTGGCAGCATCCGTACCGAAATTCCATGAGTAGAGAGGCGTAGTGCCAGTCCAGAAGTAGGTCGAGAGGCGAGCACCACCACCGCAGATGGAGCTGCGGTTTCCAGGGCAAACAATGTTGCACTCAGAGTCGTCGACAAAGGCGGCCTTCTGGGTAACAATGTTGGCCGGGTCACCGCAGTAGCATTCTTCACCGTACTCAAGTCCAGCTGCCATGTAGCCGTACTCGGCGCACCTGTCCAAGCACATACCGGCCGTCATGGTGCCAGGGAACAGGTTCTGCCAGTAGAAGGTGCGCGGGTTAGGCTGAGCTCCAACATTGTCCTGAACACAGCCCTGGTAGGTCCAACTTCCATTGAAGCCGCTTCTCTGGGGAACGGGAGGAGCGTACGTCTGGGGAGTGCCCTTGGAGATGATCGTCATGCGGTTACCGCCACCGCACATCTCAGAAGCCTTACCTCCACAGGCGGTGTTGCAGGTTGTCGGGTCAGATGCGACAGCACCGCCGTTGTAGATGGCGTTACCGCAGAAGCACTGAGTGTGATATTCGGCACCGGCGACAGTGTAACCGGCATCGGAACAGGCCTTGGCGCAGGAAGCGAGTGTCATAGCCGGGTCGTCTTGAAGCTGGTTGGGAAGGATGCGGCCGTTCAGGTTGTCGACCCAGCAGCCCTGGTTAGTCCAGCCAGTGGGGAATCCAGTGGCAGAGGGAGCTGCTGTAGAGCTGGTAGATGTAGCGGCACCAGTCACTGAGCCACTGGTAGATGAGGATGAAGATGAAGCTGACGAGGACGAGGACGAAGACTGGGTTGCGCTTCCAATGGTGTAGACAGAAAGGCGGTTGCCCTCTCCGCAGTACTGGAACTGGTTGCCCATGCACTTCATGGAGCACTGGCTAGACGGAGCAGCAACTGAGCCGGTGGCAAACGAGTTACCACACCAGCACTCGCGAGAGTATTCGACACCGAAGAAGGTGTTTCCGTCGCAGAAAGCGGCACACTTCTCCAAAGTCATGTCGTCAGAAGCGGTCGTCTTCGCGCTGAGAGCACGGGCGTTTGTAGCTTCAGTCTGGCAGCCATACCACTTCCAAACACCGACAGTCGCGGGTTGACTGGGGCCAGTCGGGGTTGGGGTCGCGGAGCTGCTGGAGGAGACGGGGGAGCTGGATGAGCTGGAAGAGACAGCAGTACTGGAAGAAGAGACAACACTGCTAGAGGAGGAAACCACGCTGCTGGACGAGGAGACGACACTGCTGGACGAGGAAATGACACTGCTGGATGACGAGACGACGCTGCTGGAAGAGGAGACAGCAGTGCTCGAGGATGTGCGGGTGCTTGAGCTGGAAGTCGAAGCACCTGTTGGAGCAGGGGTGGATGTTGAGGTGGGAAGGGGCTTGTACTGGTGCTGGAAATCGTAGACATTCAACCGGTTGGGGCCACCACAATACTCAGAAGAGTTGCCGTTGCAAAGCATGTTGCAGCCATCGACGGCAGGGGCACCGCCGTTGGAGATGGTGCTGCCACAGTCTGGTAGAGAGTGTTA